CCAAAATCAGGCAACGTGTACAAAAGAGGTTGTTTCTTGTTCACGTCACGATTACTAAAGTGGGCCCAAATAATGAAAGCTAAGTCATTAATTTAGACTTTAGTGGACAAGAAATAATATGCAAGCTAGGCTTAGATAGCTGCAGGTGGGAAATCCATTAAATTAGCTCATCAACTTATAATATATACGAATCGAATAATGTTGTGCACAAACCTTTTTTACTTTTTAAGATTAATTTCATCCTTGTAATTGAAGAAATAGACCCACAAATCGAATTCGAATGACTTCAATTGCCGTGCTACTCCAAACAAAATCATGAAAAAGTATTAACAAAAAGTTAAGGAAAAAAAAAACGTTAGATCCACATCTTTATTGACTCACACAAAAAAAAAAAAGGAAAAAAAAAAGTTCAACACGATTTCTGACGAAAGTTTGATCATTAACAAGTCGCAATTAGGGGGAAAAAAAAAGATTTCAGTAGACTAGAACAATATTAAGCGGTAGTACTAAAACGATTGATCCCCTTGGCGGGTACAAATTTTTTTTTTTTCTCTTTTTTTTTTCTTTCTAAATTGTTGATCTTATGATCATTACATCCATAAAAATTCTGTGCCCCTTCAAAAATCTAAAAAAAGTAAAACCTTACCATTTATTGCAAATTCACCAAAACGCAAAAACGCCCAACAATCCAGAAGCAACCAAAATGGGAAGACTGATCGGACCACTCTTGGCAGCACCATTGTAATAGAAGTCCTTGTCAACAGGGTACAATTCCCCTGGCGGACCGGTTATGTATATGAACGGTGCCGGAGGCGGAGGACAGTACTGGCCGCCCGTCGGAGACGGTGGGGACGGAGGCTTTTTTGGAGGCGGTGGTGGCGATGGAGGCGGAGGAGACGGTGACGGCGGGGGCGGCGGCGGGGGGTTTTGAGTGCATGGTGTGCACTTCTCATCACCCCCTTGGGCTTGATCATCAAGCAGCTTCCTTGAATGATCTGATCCGTTGACCGGATGAAGGGCTGAGAAGATTGCCATCATCAAGAAGAGATTTACAAGCATTGAAGCCTTGAAACGTTTCATGATTTTTGGTTTGAGATATTATTGCTGTGTAATTTTTTCAAGTGGCGATAGGGGTGTTTTGTTTTTGTGGGGGTGTGAGACTTTTTTGAGGCTTTTGAATGATGAGAAAATTGGGAGAATTGGTCTGGAAGGGGGTTAGGCTAGGCTTAAAGAGTAAAACTTTTTGGGTGCGGTTTTCTTACGTTATTAGGTGCATGGGAACTGTAAAAGACTTTTCTTTTTTTTTTTTTTTTTCTTTTTTTTTTTTTTTTTTGGATGGCAAAATTGAATTGTGGAAGGAGAGAGAGACGTGTTCTTATGGGCTTTTTCTATGGGTGCTAATAGAGGGGTTGTAGCTTGTCCAGCAAGGGAATCGCACTGCATGTGGATGGTCCAATTGTGGGCCCCACATTTACATAACATATATGTGTAATATGCATTAATCATTGTACTATTGTGGTTATCTTGAATATTATGTGTTTTCATGTATATAACGAAAGGGACCACTTTTGATGATTTATGCAATCTGATGGATGCCCAATACGCTTTCTTGAAATAATTTAAATTAACTAGCTTAGCAATATCTCAATCTTTGGGAAAGTTTCATATTTTAATAATTGATTTGGGAAAGTTAAATTTAATTCGTAACTTAATTATTGGATCAAATGTAAGGTAGTTTCTCATTTTTTATTTTCGCAATGTAAATGTGAATTATTAATGTTGATATGAACGAAATTCCGTATTTATTACTCGAATTTCCGTTTCAATTTTTTATATTTGATATGAATCAGGAAAATTTGAAACTATTTTCCTCACCTTCTTTTAGTTCCATAGTTACATTTTATTTAGGGAAATTGTACTATGTGTCCTTTTTTAACCACATCTTTTCATAAATCGTCGAATTTTTTTTTATTTTACAAAAATGACCGCTTTGTTTACATGAGTCAATTAATAATTGATCTATGGGCCACAACTAATCAATGATTGACTCGCGGTCAATCATGCTTGACCAATTCATTATTAATTTATCAATAGTTTATTATTAATAAACATGTAATTTGTTAATTGAAATTGATTAGTTACTAAAAAAGTTTAGTTAATTGTTAACTAATGTTGACTAATAATAAAGAATAATTGAATTAATCAGTGATAAACTAACGTCAATCATAATTGACCGCTAAATCAATCAGTAATTGACCGCTAAGTCAATCAGCGATTGACCGCTAAATCAATTAATGATTGACCGCTAAGTTAATGAAAACTTTCATTTTTACAATTTTACAAAATTTTGACCATTTATAAAAAGTATCCTTCAATACTGAAATCCCTTTTATTTACTCATCGCAATCTTTTCTTCTTGTGTTTGCAAAAAAGAAAAGGAAAAAAAAAATGTATGTGGAGAAAGATAAAAGCTACGTATTGGGGAATCGTATTCCTTGCACATAGTATAAAGCTATACCTTAGTGAGAATTTGGCGTTTTGGACAGCCTATCAATGGAAGAAAATGCAGGGTTGTCTTTGAAAAAAGAAAAAAAAAAAGGAACTTTTGTTATGCACATGATACACTCGTAATTAATGGGAATTCTGCATGTTGCCCCGGCATTATTTGATGTACCAGACAGATTAGATTGCCAATGATAGAAAGAGTATTAAGGTATTATGTTTTCTTTTGAATCCAATTATTTTGTGCATGCATAACTATACGGAGGAGGTCGTATCCATCCTCTCTATTTGTATTTTTGGGTATTGTATGCAAAGAAAATGTTGTTTTCAAAGCGAGTCATAAGATCGGAAAATATAATAATCAATTAATTGAGAATGTGACTTGACTTTGGGGAAAAAAAAAAAAAAAAAAAAGAGGGAGTCTAGCCCTTCCAACAAGCAGCCAAATATTGATCATTCAGGGGAACCAAAAAAAAAAAAAAAAAAAAAAAAAAAAAAAATCATAAAGGGGGAAAAAAAAAAAAAAAAAAAAAAAAAAAAAAAAGAAAAACGGAGAGATTCCATTGCATTTAATGGATACCTACGGTTTCTCTCATTTTCAGCCTGCTAATTTTCAGCGCGCGTTTCATTTAATAACAGTTATATAAATGTTTTTTAAAAAAAAAAAAAAAGATTGAGAAGGAAAAGAAGGCTGTAAAATAAATAAAGACAAAGGCAGAAAATATTTAAAGCAAAACGTAGAAACAAAAATTTAACTTATTTTATTGTGTTTTTAATTAGTTCTATTTTGTTTGTTTGTCGTGTCTCGTGTGTTTATTTAATTTAGTGTGATTTTCTCTAATTTTAGCATGTATTTGCTTAATTTTATTTTTTATTTAAATTATTAACAGTATTTTTATTTGAGTAGGATCAAAAATTTTAAAAAGAGGAATAAGGAAAAAATAACATAAAGAAATGAAGACAAAAGTAGGAAAGGATTTGAAGCAAAAGCTAGGGAAAAATTTTTTTAACTTATTTTATTGTGTTTTAAATTACTTCTATTTTGTTTTGTTTTTTTTTTTTTTGCTGTGTTTTTTATTTAATCTAGTGTTATTTTGCTTTATTTTAATGTATTTTGTTTAATTTTATTTTTTAGTCAAATTATTTATAATATTTTTATATGAGTAGCACAAGAAATTTAGTACAGTGTCAAAATAGATAAGATTAGACAACAAATCACTTTCATAATAAATAAATAAATATAATAAATAATAATCTAAAATTAAAACGCAAATTTGTTTGGATCGTCAGATCTCATCTCTAACAGCTGAGATCAGCGCGTGCAGCTCATGCACGGGCAAGTGCGCGTCTACAAGGGCAATGGACCGGCGCGTCAACCAGCCTGTGGAATTGGACCTCGCCACTTTTTCCGACATCAAATAGGAAGGCGAAACATGGCTCCTTTGTCGGCCACTAACCCAGAGCGCGCTCCCAATTTCTGCTCCATCCTCACATGAGCTCACTTCTCTCAGCCAATGAAATATTGACAAGTGGCCATTATTTAAGCCTCCCAACCGTTCATGCCACGTGTATTCTACTGAAATGGAAACCCAATTGGAGATGAACATGTGGCGATTTCAGCGAAAACAACCGCACCGAATCTTTCCTTAACAACAAAAAAAAAAAACGCAAACAAATCGTGTGGGTCAAGAATAATGTCTTAAAAGTTGTAATAAGATATTTATTATTTATTTAATAAAATAATTTATTTATTATTTTATGTGCATATATTATTGAATATTTTATGAATATCGTTGAAATTTTCATGATTATTTATATATTCTTAAATATTATATATAAGTATTATATGTGAGAGGATAATATTTAAGGATAATAATTAAAACAATGTTCGTAATGAATTTAATTAAAGCTTTGAATTTTTAATTAAGACAACACTACTATACATGTCATTCCCACTTATAATGAAATGTTGTTATCTGCACTGCTAATAAGTCGAGATATTCAATGAATGTATTACTCATAATGAGATTGTGTAGAATCAAGACACAGACACACTATGAATTTTTGATAATTTCTGCTAAGTATATAAATTCTAATTGAGTCTACAGATAGTCATATATAAAACGATCTTAATTCTAAGTTATTAGCAGATTCCTATTTGTAGATTTATGTCTTTTGACTTACTCAATACGGATTTTAAGATTGCTAAATCCTATTCCTTGTATCTTAGAGACATGATGAAGTCTGTAGCTGAGAATGTTAATATACGAGATGAAATCCATTCATTCTTGAAAAATAAGCAGATAAATAATTCTCTTGAGGGTTGATTCGGTACTTTGACTAGTAGGAGCTCCGATTCATGAATTTGTTTTATGAATCATTGTTCATTAGAGAATCAATGGTACTCAATGATAAAGATGTAATTAGAGAGGTTAATGAATTTCATCTAGCTCTAATTATGAATTATTTATGGAGGATTGATCTATATGTAATGGTTATATCAAATAGACACTTCATAGTTTAGAAGTAAATTATATATATAATTACCAGAGTGCAATTCTAAGCTTATAGTGGAGTAACTCTTGGAATTAATAGAATTAATTAATCAATTAAATAGTTTTAATTAATTATTAATTTTATTAGAGCTCGGAATTATAGGCCCATGAGTCGCCGCGTCGTTATTCTAATCCTACAAGACACTAAGGGCAAAATGAAAATTTTAGATTCTAAATAGAACGCTTAATAATAATTAATTGAGAATTAATTATAAATTAAATAATGTGATTATTTAAATTTGAATTTTTAGAACATACATGTGGAGAAGTCCACATGGTGTTCATGCCCAGCACTGTGAGAATCTATGTGGAATTTAGTTGCTTGCTCTCCAAGTTATTCGATTGACTTACTTGATAGGTTATCCAATTAGAATCCAAATTAAATTAAGTTTGACTTTAATTGGCATTTGAATTTGAGTCAAAATTAGATAGCAAGATAAAAAAGAATTTTTTCTCCTTCCCCATCTATAATTTGTGCTAACCACAGAGGGAATATCCCTGTGGTGACCAGCTCCTGTGGATAAGAGAAAGAGAGGATTTTGTTTCCAAAATAAAATAGAAGTGGAAGATAATTATCAAGTTTTATCTTGTAGATAAAGTTTAGACTTTTTTTGGGAGTCTGACAGTTACTCAATAAATAGAAGATTGCAGAAAATTAAATAACACAATTTTTACTCTTCCTAGCATATAGTGGCCGGTTTTATAGAGTGAGGAAAATTTTTTTTCTCTCCGATTCCACGTCATGCATGTGTTCGTATCCGTGAAAAACTTGAGTGTTTGAGTGTTAATCTTGTTTTGTTTCAGGTGCTCTTACATACACGTCTTCGTAGATTCAAGGAATTAACGAAGAAGATTTGGGTATTCTAAACAAGTTTGGAGTAAGGAACGTTCGTGGTCAAATAATTCAAGTTATTGACCTAATCGTTTGATAGGTAAATTTATTCATAAATTAATTTGATTAATTTATTCGTGCATAAATTAATGTATTCTATAAAGTATATCTCAAATGTTTATTAAAATTTTTATTATACACAATCCGTTAGATACACGTTTTCGCATAGAAAATTATTCTCAAAAACCAACATCGCGGGGGCAATGAAATGGCCCCTGCGAGAAATGAATTCTCTCTTTTAAGGTACAAAAGTGATGTTTGAGGTGTTTTTAAAGTCATATGATGCAGCGAAATGGGAAAGGTCAAGCTAAAACTCATGGATAAAGGAGAAATTTTATGTTTTTAGATTGGAGAGAAATCGCAACTCGAACAATAACA